CTGATTTGTTTTCCTGAGAAAGATTGTTGAAGTTGAAGAGCTGACTAGTTCCACCATGTGTGACTTCACACCTGAACTCACACCCCCGCATGTAGTACTGGTCAATTAAACAAACTGCAGCAGAGCAGTCAGGCTGTTTTGACTCACAGTGTTTCACATCTGGAGCTCCAGCAGGACAGTTATGCAGCCACTTCACTTTGTAATCACACCGTCCATTTGTCTTCACAGAACAAGTTAATATCACTTTATCTGTGATCCTTTGTTTAGTTACTGATGAGGAAACAGTAGGAGAGACATTTTACACAAAACATACAGAATAAGTCACTGTACTTATTATGGCTATAAATTAGTTTGAATTTTTCGTATAAAATAATAATTCTGCAGTAAAATAACAAAAACAGCACTAAAAAAAGATTGAAAAGGAGTAAAAATGGCTTCATATTAATACTCACTGTGGACGACAGACAGATCAACTCCAGACTGATGAACCAGGATGTGATTATCTGGTTTGTTTCCAGCTTGGTATTGTTGGCATTGATAACGACCAGCATCCTCCTCTTTGACATTCCTTATTACCAGAGAACAGCTTTCTAAACTCAGTTTGTTTGATTTACTTTGCAGATTTGGGTCAATCTGTCCCAGTTTAACCAGCTCTACCGAGAATATATCTAAACTGTAGATCCATATGGTGCCATTACAGTTTGTCTGACCAATAATCAAACATTGGCAGGACAAAACCACAGTATCTCCAGATCTTATCAAAACAGCTGCTCGATCTGCAAACACTGTTGACAAACAGGAAGAGACAGTTGAGAAAAAAAAATTAGATGATCAAAGTTTGAATATTTTAAAATTCAAGTATTAAAACAATATTGTTAATATGTTTCTTTATCATTTTCCAGGTTTAAAGACAGAAACTAGTTGATTCATGGTAGAATGATAAATGTAGCCTTTGTTTACTAAATACAGTAGAATAAATATCCTTAACACAGTTATATATCTGACCTATTTCTATATTTTCTTACCTGTAGAATGAAGCTCTAGTATCAGAAAGAAACAAATTTTAATCCATCCGAGTTCACCCATTGCTCCTCTCAGCTTGTCTTTCTTGTTCTGATGCACTAAACTGTCAGATAGTGGCCGCCTTTTGAAGGTCATTTCTACTTCCTGTATAAGAGGCGTTACTTCCTCACATCTTATACGTTTTAAATAAATAATAATTTTCTTTTTTTCAAAATTCTAACATGAAAAAAAAACATTGATATACTTTATAAATCTTTAAAATAAATAAGGGGTTAAAGTAAATTTCTATAAAAACCTTTTGGTGAACACGTGTTCAGCCTCAAACCTGTTTTGAGATGAAGGCGTTTCTGGGAACCAGAAAGAAGAAGTAAACTGAATGCGTACATGTTCTAAAGTTAGAAACAAGAATTTTTGAAGTCATCTTTTTATCTTTTAGTTTTAGCATTGAGTCAAACTTATTCAACATGTGCATTAGCAGCAAGAAAAGCATAAACTTATAATAGATTAATAGCTATGATTGCTCTTGCCTCCAGTTTAAGTTTTCAGGCTTTCATGAGAACTGAAGGAGGAAGTTGTTTGCGGAGAATGTGGGTAGAAGCTCAGCTCTGCTGGTTCTCGGTGCTGCAAACCCAGGGTCAAACTGTGAGGAAATGCATTATAAACGATCTCAAGTGTTTCACATCAATCCCTAACTTNAAGCTCACATATACTGATTCTGTAATGCCACACAATTAAACAAACAGTAATACTTTTTCTGCTTTGTGATAATTTAAGGTAATACTTGCTTCCATCCATGTTAAAGTGAAAAATCATCTGACCCAATATACACAGCCTTGATTTATACAGATTTGTGTTTGAAAAACTTTAAAGCAAACTAAAGAGTCCTCAGGTGTTTTCATTGTTCTCTCCATCATCATCTTCTTTATGCTCTTAAGGAAAAATAAAAATAGAAACAGATAAAAAAAAAAAAATCAGCAGCAGTTAATGGAATCACTGAATCACTATTTAACACCTCAAACTAAGTAACTCTTAAAGGTAATCCTGAGCCATAGACATGTGATGTTCTGGTTGCTCAGAGGCTTTTTTCACAAAAGCTGAATTCAGAGATTCCAGAATAGGAGATAAAGCCAGGCTCATGCATCAGAATCTGGGTTTAGTCAAAGAGGACTCTGATCTTGTTGCATGTTTGTCTTTTCCTTCCTGCAGCTTTGGGTTCAGTTGGTAAAGATCTAGAAGCACCTGAGAGGTGGAAGTGACAGCCTATAGAGCTGCTCCTGCAAAGTGTTTCTCTCACTGAGAGGCTGCTTGATAACCTGAGTCAGTTTGTTGTTGCAAACAACTTTTCACCTCATTTTATCCACTGTTATCATTATTCTGGGCCGATATTTTTTTTTTATCAATGACAATAAAATTTATCTTTTCACAGAGAATCTTAAATATCAAATAATCCAAATAGATCGGGCTAAGCTTTGACTGTAGAGCTTCCTTTTTTGTTGCCAATAATGAGAAAAGGTTGATAAAGAATTAGTTTAAAAATGCAAATAGTGACAATAAAATCCCTAACTTTACATCAGTAACAGGTGTTGGAGGGGAGAAAACAAAATAACCAACTTTTTCTGGACAGTAATTCATATTCTAAGATTTATACCAACTATACAATCATTCAAAAGTAAAGTGAGATTATAAATCTGCTCCATTTCTTTCTATCTTACCTTTAGTTCTGGTCCAAACGCTGACGCTCACAACCGTTATAGAAAGAGCTGCTAAACCCACAGAGACGATGATGATACGCCATAAACCTGAAAGAGAAGAATATTGTTCTCATGTCGAAGGTCTGAGTAGTAACAGCTTTCCTTTACTTATGTTTTTAATTGTCTTTATTTTGTTATTATATTCTCTACAAAATCAAACAATTATATTATTTCTTTAAAATAAAATTGGTTTTATATTGCATCATGTTGTTTATGGTATTTAAGTCTGAAATATAAAATAAAAGCAACATGTGAAACACACTGATAACACAACCTGATGTTTTCTTTGGGTTAAGACATTTCTAAATAAATGGGGAAAAAAAACATTGTTCTTGAATAAGACCACCGTTATCAGGAGAGCTTATTTTTAGAACAATCAGTGCTTTATCTATTGCTCTCTGAATAATGTTTGATAAAATTGACGGAACTGGGGAATCACATACTAGCAGGTGAATTATTATGATGAAGCTTGTTGATGCTGTAATATATTTTAAAGTCAAAGATGAGAAAATATTTTCTATCTTAATCTGAAGCTCAATAATAAAGATTGAAAAAAATATCAAAGGCGTCTTCATGGGAATCTATACAAATTAAATCTATACAAAAAACACTTAAAACAAGTTTAAGGGTTTAGTGGAGAGAAAAATCCTGAAACCATGAAGCAACATCAGAGCATCTTTACCTCCATTAGATGATGTCTGTTGTGGTTGGACCTGGTTCCCTGCTTTCTTCTATTTCTCTGGTTGGGCTGCATGTGGTTTCAGCTTTTGTTTCAACTTCAGACAAAGATACTAACAAAACCAAAATGTTAAAATGTTCATGTTTTCCCATTTGCTGCAACAATAGTTACATGCAAACAATACATTTCGTGAGATCAGAGATTCAAAATAATGTAATTAACCTAAACCAAAAAGTTTTCTTACCTGATTTGTTTTCCAGAGACGAATTGTTGAAGTTGAAGAGCTGACTGGTTCCACCATGTTTGATTTTACACCTGAACTCACACCCCTGCATGTAGGACAGCTCAATAAAACAAACTGCAGCAGAGCAGTCAGGCTGTTTTGACTCACAGTGTTTCACATCTGGAGCTCCAGCAGTACAGTTATGCAGCCATTTCACTTTGTAATCACACCGTCCATTTGTCTTCACAGAACAAGTTAACGTCCCTTTATCTGTGTCCCTTTGTTCAGTTACTGATGAGGAAACAGTAGAAGAGACATTTTACACAAAACATACAGAACAAGTCACAGTACTTATTGTGGCTGTAAATGAGTTTATATTTTTCAGACAAAATATTAATTCTGCTGTAAAATAACAACAACAGCACTAATAAAACAGTAACAAGGAGAAAAATGACTTCATATTAATACTCACTGTGGACAACAGACAGATCAACTGCAGACTGATTAACCAGGACGTGAGGATGTGATTTGTTTCCAGATTTGTATTGTTGGCAATGATAATGACCAGCATCCTCAACTGTGACATTCCTTATTACCAGAGAACAGCTTTCTAAACTCAGTCGGTTTGACTTACTTTGCAGATTTGGGTCAATCTTTCCGAGTTTAACCAGCTCTACTGAGGAGTTCCTTGAACTGAAGACCCATGTGGTGCCATTACAGTTTGTTTGACCACTAATCAAACATTGACAGGACAAAACCATGGTATCTCCAGATCTTAGCAAAGCAGCTGCTCCATCTGCAAACACAGTCGACAAAACAGGAAGAGACAGTTGAGAAAAAAATAGAAGTTGGAAATCTGAATACTTTAAGATTCCAGAATAAATAAGAGTTTGTTAAGATATTTCTTTGTCATTTTCCAGGTTTAAAGACAGAAAATAGTTAATTTATGGTAGAATGATAAATGTAGCCTTTGTTTATTGAATATAGTAGAATAAATATCCTTAATACAGTTATATATCTGAGCTATTTGAAAATGTCTATATTTTCTTACCTGTAGAACGAAGCTCTAGTATCAGAAATAAACAAACTTTAATCCATCTGAGTTCACCCATTGCTCCTCTCAGCTTGTCTCTCTTGTTCTGATGCACTAAACTGTCAGATAGTGGCCTTTTGAAGGTCATTTCTACTTTCTGTATGAGAGGCGTTACTTCCTCACATCTTAGTGGTTATTAATTTTAATTCATTTTCTTTTGCCTAAATGATGAAATAATAATAATCAAAAAAAACAACAACATAGATTTACTTTATATATCTTTCAGGCGTCGAAGGTGTTAAAGTAAATTTCTATTAAAACCTTTTGGTGAACATCGTGTTCAGCCTCAAACGTGGTTGAGAAGAAGGCGTTTCTGGGAACCAGAAAGAGGAAGTATACTGAATGCATAAATATTCTAGCTAGAAACAAGAACTTTTTTTCTTTTAGATTTAGCATTCAGTCAAACTTGTCCAACATGTGCATTAGCAGCAAGAAAAGCATACACTGTCATGTTTAGGTTTTCAGACTCTGAATAGGAGCAATCACGGAAGCAATGATCAGTTAAAGGTTTTATTGAAGGTTTGTGGAAGTACAGAGAGGAGTCCGGCAGGCAGGGTTGTCAGGATACGGCTGGAAGAGGTTAGGTGACAGGTGAGCAACCGTTCGGTGCTGGTGGATGAGTGAGGGATGTATGAGACTCACAGAGAGGACGGCTTGGCGTCTGTTTGGGAGGATGGTGTCCAGTGATCCAGCCTATTGGTGCAGGTCCGGTTGGCGAGATCGGATGGTGGTGTCTGAGGGTGGACTGGCAGGTGCGCTCAGGCAG